AAACGGAAAATGTTTGATTCCTTGAGGATGTGGAGTTTGTGGGTAGAGATAATGTTTTAAGGTTAAGGATTTTGTTTTGTTGCAATTGACAATGATTAAGACCATGGACAAATTCTTGTTCAGATATTGTTCAAGAAGCAATTTCGAATCAACAAAATAATTACAAAACCCCATATACACAATCAAGAGATTGTTCTAGAAAAACAAACTCAACAACTTCAAGAACAAATACTATTAAGGAAATCTACTAGAGAAAGGAGAAAGCCAAGTCCGAATAATTCTATACTCTTTCTCCAAGAACATGAGAATGACATGGGTTGATTGAAGAGATCCGATCAATCAACTTTCATCAAACTATGCAAATGAATAATTCTTAAGAGTGGATTGATGCCATAAATAAAGAGATAAAGTCCATTAAAGATAATGATGTTTGGGAATTCATCCCATTACCTGAAAGTGCAAAACTCATTGGTTGTAAACGGATATTTAAAACTAGGAGGGATTCGAAGGGTGATGCAGAGAGATATAAGGCTCATCTTGTAGCAAATGACTTCATTCAAAAGAAGGCATTGACATGAAAGAGATTTTCTCTCCGATTTGTATGAAAGACTCTTTAGAACTATAATATGGCACTTGTGACACATTTTGATCTTAAATTACATCAGATGATTTACAAATAAAAGAAATTCATCTATAGGCTTAAGCAAGCTTCTCGTCACTGATATCATAAATTTTATCAAATAATTATCTCATTTGTTTTTTTAAGATGAATGCAGTTGATGATTGTGTATATCACACATCCAATGGGGTAAGCATAATTTTTGGTATTATATGTCAATGACATAGTTCTTACCTACAATGATATATGCTTATACACGAAACCAAGAGATTTTTGTTATGGAATTTTGAAATGAAAGATTTTGGTAACACCTCTTTTATGTCGGAATACATATACACTGGGATCATTCTTGGGATATTTTTATACTCACAAAAGAGCTATATCGATAAAGTTTTTAAAAGATTTGGGGTGCAATAATGTAAATCAGGTTATACCCCTATTGTTAAGGGAGACAATTTTAGTCTTAATCACTTCCTTAAGGATAAACTTAAAGAAAAGGAATGCAAAAAAATTCATTGTGCTTCAGCAGTTGAGAGTTTAATGTATGTTTAGGTTTGTACATATTCGGATATAGCACTCATTGTTGGAATGTTGAGCAGATATTTAAATAACTCTGGGATGGATAGTTGGAAAGTAGCCGAATGGGTTATTTAGTATCTACAGAGAACTAAGGATTAAATGATCACATATAAGAAATCAGACCAATTGGAGATCATGGATATTCAGATTTTGATCATGGAATATGATTGAGGAATTTTGTTACTAGGTTGTACATTTTGTATGGAATTGAAAGACCACTTAAGTTATTATGTGACAATAGTAATCTTGTATTCCAACGGAGCTCGATGATGTCAGACTTTATAGATATTAAGTTCCTATTTGTTAAGACCACTTAAGTTATTATGTGACAATAGTAGTCTTGTATTCCAACATGAGCTCGATGATGTCAGACTTTATAGACATTAAGTTCCTATTTGTTAAGAAAATAACTTGAAGTGTTCAGGTTTCTATAGAGCATATTAGGGAAAAACTCCATGATTGAGGATCCGCTTACTAAAAGGCTACCACCTAGGGTCTTTCATGAGTATACTGCTCATATGGGTGTTGCATCTTTTGATGATATGACCGTTTAGTAGGAATTTGTTTTTTGCTATTGTCTGATTTAGACACATCTTATACTTATAGATATTCAGGTTATTTTGCATAAATAAAGTATTTAGTTCAGTTTCACTCAGATTAAAGTTTTGGTTTGATCTCATTAAAGAATAAGGTAATACTAGTTGGAAATAGGCATATCTGGATCACCTTACATGTAATTTTCATGCTATACACCATACTTGATCTATGTCATTTTATTGTGTTGATATATATGACCATTGATGGATTTAGTTATGATATTTGTAACGAAGACTGCTTTCATCCTATATTGACATAATAAATGGATGAGATTGTTCGGAGATGCTTCTAGTTATGATATTAAAATTTTGACGTTATAAGGTTATGAACATTTATAAGGGCTCATATGTAATCTAAGTGGGAGATTGTTGGGTTTCAATTTGTCAAGTGGCCTACATATGTAATTGTGTATTAAAAGTTATCTGAACGTTTAGTCCAATTAAGGTGATCTAATAAAAAAATTAAAGTTATAAGCTTTGGGCATATAAATAAAGTACGTGCCTAAATATGTGTAGAAACTGGATCCATTAAGGTTGTATTTGATGATGGACTGAATACGTATGAAAACTATAAATAAAGTTATGGTCCCCAATTCATATGTGATTCTCATTTTTTGTGTCATCTTATCAATATAATAATATAAGAGAAAATATATTGAAGAGAAAGATCCAAAACCCACAATCAAGAAACTGTAATAAAAACACACAATTCGAGATCCAGTATTAAATAATCATTCCCAGTGAATTAACATATATTCCACATTTAATAATTCTCTTGGTGATTCGATTGGAGGATCTTGATAATAAAGTAATTACATTTTCAAATTCTTGGGATTTAAAGTTTTAAAATAAAATCTGACAGAGAAATTAGATGATGACAATTATGACATTTCACATCGTAATATCCTATACGTGGTAGATGAGCACGAGGTTTTGGAAATTTGTAACCAATCCATGAACCCAAGCTAGCAAAGACAACTACTCAATAGAGACTAGCTTGTACAAGACATTTAGGTCTAAGAGCACCACCAATTATCCCAAACAAGGAATTAACTGGTGGACATGCGCCTAAGAATGAATAACAAATACAAACAAGGCAAGCATGGTTGCAAGAGCAAGATAGACAAATGCTGTAATTGCGGCAAGGAATGTCATTTTGTTCCAATTCATGCTACGACTACTTATACCTATTCTAGTTAAATTGTATTCAAAAGCAACCGATCGCATGTAGTGAGGGACCAAATTAGGTCGTAAAGTATCATCAATTACCAACAAGAGCGACATGGGAATCGAAGTTAGTTTAGTAGTGCTAGGCATTGGCACCTACATACTAGTCTTGTGTGGTGGATGCACTCTATTGCTTCATAATATTATATATGCCCTCATATCGACGAGACTTCCTATCAGTAGTTAATTTGCTTGGGCTACATTAAACTTATCCACAATATCCGACAAGTAATAGTGAATCAAATATTGTTCCCACGAGTACTTTGTTACCAATTATCAATATAACTAATCATATATAATTACTTGAACCATTAATAAAAGTAACACGGAAATGTGATTGTATTAAACTTGAAATCAACTACCGTGGTCAACAATCAAAAATTTGAGAAAACTTGATGATTTTAAAATTTTAGGACTCTGTGATTTTGTTATCATATTCACTTTGTGTATCGAGGTATGACAATTTATTTAATTTGTGTTGACAATCAAATTTATTTAAAATATTTGACAACTCTATATAATAGAATCAGACCTACTTAAATAAGTAAACTTGAGGATTTTTTTTAATTTTTTTTTTCAAATTAACCATATTTTTACATGTATGCTATCAGAGAATGATAATTAATAGCGAATTAATTGATTTCTTGAATATATAGTTTTCAAATTTAGATTAAAATAAAATTATAAAAACTATCCATCTTAAATATATTTTTTTTCTTCGTGGCAGTCCCTTGTTGCAAAGTTTGGTAATTAAGAATAGTGTGTCTTCACCGTGTGTACGTAATTTCCTCGTCTCTACCAAAAAGTCTTGACTAGAATCAATTATATGAAAGCATCAAAGACGTTTATGTGTCATCTCACAATACCACAACGTATTAAAAATGTAATTGTATTGGCTTTAATTTTAATCGATGCTTTCAAGACTAATTTAATGGGTTTTCCAAGTCAATAGTGCTATAAATACATTTTAAATTATGGCGTGTTGACTACTTAATTGTGGGATTAATATATTTAAGATCAACAAATCCCACTTTTATTTTTTCTTTCCAAAGGGGTCCTCCACTTGTACCGTATCTAATACGTACATGAGATTCCATTGTGGAATTTATTTGTGTGCTTATGTGTGTTAAGTAGCTTTGTCGATAATGATGAATAGATTTGGAATTATGTTTTGATTTATTAAATGTGAATAAGTTACATACTTAGATTAATTGATTTTTATATATGTAAACTTAATTTAAAAATTAATATTATTTGCACCTATAAATTAAGTTTAGGATCATAAAGTAATAAGTTGATTTATATGTTTGACAGATTGAAATAGTAGAACTAAGAGACTAAATCCAAACATTACGACATTATACATTTTTAGACAAATTTGGAATAGTTTGGAGGTGATTGAACTGTTTCACAACAACAGACCTTGACTCTAGGAAAGAATTATGGCTAAGATTCAGCTGAAGAAATTATCAGAAATTGGTGATAAGGGTAATTTGTCCAAGTGACCTTGAATGGAGTCAATGGATGTACCACAACTGTCATATGGCATCACAACTCATCCATGAAAATTATGGAAATTTGATTTAGCAAACTGATCGTCAAATAAATTAAATAAAATCTTCTTTTTTAAAAATATGTAAAGAGTAAATTCAGTTTTGGCTCATCACAAGCTTCAGAGACCATTTTAATGGGTTTCAAATTTTCAATTTTGATATGTAGGCAGATTGAATCTTGATCCAGTCTTGGTTTTCCAAGTCAATCCTGTCTTGTTCTTATGATAGTACTGTAAAGACTTTATAAATTATGGCGTGATTGTGGGAATAATATCTCTAAGCTCAACCAATCCAAGTTATTTTGGTTTTCCAAAGGGGTCCTACATTATACTGTGTCTGATGCGTTAGTGCGATTATAAAATATTGATTATATGAACACAAATAGCTCAAAAAATTAAGCATTTTTAATTACTGTCAGAAAAAATAATGGAGCTCAAAATACTGCAATTGCTACTTTTTCTGTGCATGAAACTATTGGTTTCTGGAGTTGGGGCTGCTGAATTTAAGTGCATAGAGAGGGAGAGACAAGTTCTTCTCAAGATCAAGGAAAGCCTTACAGGTGATCTTAGTGTGTTAACGTGGGGAAGTGAAGAAGATAAAGAGGAATGCTGCAATTGGTCTGGTGTGAAATGTAGCGACACCGGTCACGTAACCTCACTCGCTCTATCTGATATGCATTTGAGAGGTAAGATAAGTCCTGCATTGCAAGAGTTGCAGCACTTGAACTATTTGTCCCTCAGAAACAATAATTTGACGTTCGATAATCTTAATTGGCTCTCTAATATTTCTTTGTTATCTGATCTTGACTTGAGCGGCAATAACCTTAGAAATGTAACCAACTGGGTACAACCAATAACAAAACTCTCTTCACTCGAGACATTGCACTTGTCAGGTTGCGAACTCGGTGACCCTCTATCTGCATTTGATGCCTTTGCAAATTCTTCTTTGTCATCCCTTCATATTCTTGATCTATCCCACAATTATCTCACTTCCGTTTCTACATTTGACTCAATGTTTAACATTAGTAAAACTCTTTCTTTCTTGGACCTCTCCTATAATCAATTAGAAGGTCCTATTCAATTAGATACTTTTTGGCCATTGTGGGATTTAGATCTCTCCGGTAATCAATTGAAAAAGCTACCCAAAGCTATTGAGAAACTTTCCAATCTCGGTTTTTTAAATCTCTCTTTAACTTCACTGGAAGGTACAATCACCGAACACCACCTTTCAAACTTTACCAAATTAGTAAAACTGGATTTATCTTTTAACAATTTGTCTTTCAACTTAAGCTTTGATTGGATTCCTCCCTTCCAATCGTATGGATTAAGTCTTAGTCATTGTAATATGGGGCCTCATTTTCCAAATTGGATTCGAACACAGAATTCTCTTACGGACCTCTCTCTCTCTTTTGCTGGTATATCCGACACATTACCTAATTGGCTGTGGAATATGTCTTCTATCGACTGTCTAGATCTCTCTCATAATAATATTAGTGGCGGGATCCATTTTCGGGCCTCAAAGTTAGGTTTTTTGGATTTAAGTTATAATAATCTTTCGGGCCCAATTCCGTTATCAGTTTTTCAATATTCGAGAACGTTGATACTTTCCAAAAACCTGTTATCGGGATCCATTTTCAACTTATGCACAGTTTCGGAGGGCATCGAACTCGACGACCTTATTCTCTCGGATAACCAATTAGAAGGAGAGCTTCCTGATTGCTGGATGAACTTTCATGAGCTAATTGTTCTCAACTTGGCAAATAATAAGTTCTCAGGTAAACTTCCTCCCACTTTAAGCACTCTGAACTGGCTTGCTATATTGCATTTGGGCAACAATAATTTCAATGGTGAATTGCCTCCCTCTTTGAAGAATTGCACACAGTTGAGAAAGTTAGATGTTGGAGGAAACAAGTTAACAGGTACAATTCCAGCGTGGATAGGAACACACCTAAAAAATTTGGCAGTTCTTAGCCTTCGATTTAATAGTTTTCACGGATCCATTCCTACAACAATTTGCCACCTTACCGATATTCACGTCTTGGACCTTTCTAGGAACGACATTTCTGGAAAAATTCCACGATGTTTAAACAATTTTACTTCTTTGGTTCAGAATGATGGTTCAACTATTCTCGACTATAATCCCACTCTGGTTGATTACGGGGAACCATCAGATGACGATGACAATGCTTTGGTTCAATGGAAAGGACAAGAATCAGAATATAAAAGACTAAGATATTTGAAAGGCATTGATCTTTCTAGCAATAAGTTATTTGGAACTATTCCTCAAGCAATTTCTAATTTGAGAGGTTTAGTTTTCATCAACTTATCAAGAAACCATTTAACGGGGAATATCATTTCAAGCATTGGTCAATTGGATACATTGGAATATCTTGATTTGTCTAGAAACCAACTTTCTGGGGAGATTCCGAATGGCCTTGCAAATCTACATTTTCTTAGTGTCCTGGACTTATCATACAATAATTTGACGGGAAAGATTCCACTAAGCACTCAACTACAAAGCTTTGACTCATCTGTGTACGCTGGGAACAACCAACTCTGTGGAGATCCATTGGCAGAGTGTCCTCCTGACCCTTCTGTGACTGATCATGGCAAGGTAAATATTGTTGAAGAAGATGACAGGTTTATAAATCGAGATTTCTATATTTGCATGGCATTTGGTTTCATCACTGGATTCTGGGTAGTTGTTGGTACTCTAGTCCTCAAGCATTCATGGAGACATTCCTATTTCAACTTCTGGAATAATGTTGGAGACTGGATGTACGTGACAACAACAATCTGCGTGACAAGATTTAAGAGAAAATTTATGGCCTAAAGGTAAAGTGTATGTAAATCTGCTTTGTTAATCAGTTGTTTGTACCATGACTATGGTATGGTGTTTATGGGCGTAAATATAGAAATCCTTTAGCCCCTATTTGTTTCTCTTTTTTCCAAATCTTTTTTTCTAATATTCATTTTCAATTACACATTCACACAATAAAATATTTTGTACGTAAACTCAAAACTTTTTCCTTATTCTTTAACCACACATTCTCCAAAAAATCACTATTCAAAATATTATTTTCCCCCAAATATTCTTTAGAAAGGGAGAAACATAGACTTAACGTCGCCTGTCAATGTCCTAATCTTGAATTTCTTATGGCTGAAATCAGGTGCCCCTTTTTGGAAAAGCTGATGACTGGAGTGGTGCACGTGTTGTGACTGTTGTTGTTCAATTTTGTTTTTGATACTCAGATATCCTAGTTTACACTAGACTATATTCTGGACCACTCAAAACTGATGTTGTTCTTTAATCTAATTGATAGCGTTGTCATATTTTCTAAATATTTGCAGAAATAAAATCAGTTTTTGGGTTACTTTGTTGTGAAATAGTCACTTTAATAATAATAAAAGTTCTAATCTAGATCAATTATCTCACTTGATTAATTCATAGCTTTAATAATTGTTATTTACAGAACACTTTTAATTTGTAAATGATTTATTACTCATAATTAACGTCTTTTTAGAGATGGCTTCCTTATTTTAACTTGGTACAAATATTTAAATTGGATATTAGATACTTTATCAGTCATGACACCACCCATTCCTGATCACCTTAATGGGCCTAAAACGTGACGTGCACCAATGATGTATATCAACTAGATGTCGAACCCACCATTAAGGCTGAATGTAATATGCTACCAGTCACATGTTAGATAAAAGGAACTCATTTTACGTCAAAAGAATGTGAGCCCAAAATGGTTTTTACATGCTCAACTCAATTGATACAAATAACATAAAATTGTCATGCGTCTACGGCTCCAAAATCAACAAGCTCTTCCAGGTTTCTAAGACTCAATTGTTGCCTGACAAGAAAAATTGTGAAAGTTATAAGTTGATAGCTTAGTGAGTGGAGATTTTCGAAAATAACTATATTTTTCATTTATACATATTTAACGAAAATCAAGTTCACATCATTTAATAATTCACAGTGTAACATCATATTATCATAGTCAAGATGTGAGATATTCTCATACACTAAAAAATATCATCCCATAGTCATAATATAATCTTCTGCTAAAATGAGTGAAATAATCTCATCATCACATCACAATATGCTAGGAAATCTCACAAAAAATGTATCATCCGACTAAAATATATAATCTAGTCATATACATGTACACAAACGCACGGATTAAACACTTTGGACATGAATCTCAAGCTCCTCCATGAACGAAAGTGGGTGTCAAATATATCTGATAATCAATTCTAGAACACCGTCAAGGCCCCTTAATGAACTATATGTACTCGGTCGAGATCCATCATTATATTATAGAACCCGGTCAAGACCCTTCAATGAACTAGAAGAAACATATAATCATGGGTATCCTTCTGGTCGATTTCAATATCACCTATATCTAACATTCCATTTCACAAATAATCAATAGCTAATCTTCAAAATTCTACAAATATCATAGTGTGATAACATTTCATAATAATGATCACGTAGTTGGACAAATAATCCACTTAATCACGAGTAACACAATAATATAATTATTTAGCAAATATATGAAAATATTTAAGTTTTTTCACTCACCAAGTTTATCCACAAGATAAAGACTATTTTGGTTGACAAGTTATCCCAACCTCGCTATTTCTTGGAAAATTAGACATTTTTTGAGATTATTAGCCATTTAATCCAATTCCCCAACCAATGAACAAATAGAAGACCTCAGCACCTCAACTATAGCTCATTCTTTTCTTTTATTTTTCAGCCCATTTCTCCTTTCACTTTATCTTTTATTGAGGCCAATACATATCCATATTCAATCCCTTTCTAATTGAAAATAATTATTGTTATTGGTAGATAGAACAAGAAACTTAAGAGTTGAGTCCTTATTCTTCTCTCTCTTGTTGCAGGTACCCATTAATTACAATTGGCCAATTCCATTAATCAACACTGCCGATTTAATACTTTACAATTTGAAGCATTGGATTAACTGTGAAAATGAAGCAAAACGACCTAGCAACATCAAAATTGAATTCTACCTCACCATAATTCTGCCCAATTTCTCCATTATATCAATTTATCATCTCTCTACCCCTATCAATTTCCATTTTTTCCCCCGATTGCACACCTATATATATATATTCACGTATAAATATTGACAGATTCTTGAAATTGTAAAATTCCCTTACCTTATGATAGAATTTAAGAGTGAAAGAGGACCAAGCTCGAAATCTTCCTCTCTTTTATAAATGTCACTAAATTTGAAAATCCAAAAAAATTTGTCACTTTCACTTTTTGTGAGCA